CCTCCGCACGGGCCTCGTGTCCCCAGAGCAGCGGCATGTCGCGGGCCGAGGCCCGGGACCCCCGCGTGTACCGGCCCGTCGCCATCGCCGTGCTGATGCGCCTGCTGCAGCAGCTGACGGGCGTCACGCCCATCCTGGTGTACCTGCAGCCCATCTTCGACAGCACGGCCGTCCTGCTGGTGAGCGCCCCGCGAGCCCTGGGGTGCAGAGGGAGCTGAGGTGCAGGAGTCGGGGGAGCCCAGCCAGGCCAGCGGTGGTCACGCAGGGCTGAGGGTGCTGACCGGCGCCGGGACACCAGGGGCCGGGCCGGGCCCCTCAGCCCCCTGCCTCCCTCCGCAGCCCCCCCAGGATGACGCAGCCATCGTGGGGGCCGTGAGGCTGCTGTCCGTGCTCATCGCTGCCCTCGCCATGGACATGGCTGGCCGCAAGGTCCTGCTCTTCATCTCAGGTGAGCCGCACGTGCGGGCGCTGGCCCGACAGGCCTCGCCCTGGGCGCCCTGGGGAGCGGGCAGCGTCAGACCCCTCGGCGGCTGGCTCGGAGCCTGGCGCCAGCCGCACCGCTGAGGTGTGATGGGCTTTGTGGAGACAGCCCGCTGCCTGATGCCCACGGATGGCGGGGGGGCAAGGGGCTCCAGCCCCTGGCCAGCTGGGGGTGGGGCGGGTGATGTGGGGCTAGCAGGGCACCCTGCCCAGGGTCACCTGTCTGTTCACAGCAACCATCATGTTCGCCGCCAACCTGGCCCTGGGGCTGTACGTCCACTTCGGGCCGCGGCCTCTGGCCCCAAACAGCACCGCAGGCCTCGAGGGCGAGTCCTTAGGGGGCACAGCACAGCCCCTGGCCGCGCCTGGTAGCTACCTCACGCTGGTGCCGCTGCTGGCCACCATGCTGTTCATCATGGGTATGTTCCTGGGCCCGGGGCTGGCCCGCGGGGAGGCGTGGGCCGGCCACCGCTGTCCCGTGTGGTGTGGCCGGTGGGCGGTGGCCCTCGGCAGCCCAGAGGAGAAAGGGGGGCCTGAGCTGCCCCCCACCCCCGCAGGCTATGCCATGGGCTGGGGCCCCATCACCTGGCTGCTCATGTCCGAGATCCTGCCCCTGCGGGCGCGCGGCATGGCCTCGGGGCTCTGCGTGCTGGTCAGCTGGCTCACCGCCTTCGCCCTCACCAAGTCCTTCCTGCTGGTGGTGGTGAGTGCCCGCCCGGGACCCGGGGTGTCCACCCCATCACGGCCACCCAGCCGCACAGCGGGGCCTCTGACATTACACCGCCCCCGCCACGGAAGACCAAGCTCAGGGAACGGCCCGGAGGTGCCTTCGCTGCGAGTGAAGGGGACAGGTGGCCCCGGCCAGGCCGGGGCCTGCTGGAGCTCTGTGAGGTCCAGCGAGCCCCACAGCCGCCTGCCCTGTGGTCTGCACGCTCACCCGTGTGCACACCTCGCCCCCGGGCGGGGGCACCGCTGGGGTCCTGCTGAGGCCAGGGCAGGGTTGACGGGCACCCGCCGTGGGTCAGCTGGCAGGGGCGGGGGCGGCTGGCCCTCAGGCCGTGGAGGCAGGTCACTGCAGGCCTGAGCGCTGAGCAGCTAAAGCCAAAAGGGTGGACTGGCGAGCGAGGCTGTAGGGCCAGCGGGCCTGGCCAGGGTGAGCCAGGCTGGTGCAGGGAGGGGCCGCTGGCCCAGAGGCCCTAGGGCTGTGGCGCCCCGCTGTGCCCTCCTCTGAGGCTCTGAGGAGGCCTCTGAGGGGGTCAGAGGAGGCCCCAGCTGGCTGGTGACAGCGCCCCCTCTTCCCCCCCACACCCCGTCCCCAGAACGCCTTCGGCCTGCAGACACCCTTCTTCTTCTTCGCCGTCATCTGCTTGGTGAACCTGGTGTTCACCAGCTGCTGCGTGCCCGAGACCAGGGGCCGGTCGCTGGAGCAGATCGAGTCCTTCTTCCGCACGGGGCAGACGTCCTTCCTGCACTAGGCC